TAAAGGCACTAATAATAAACTGAAGAACTTCTTGATTGTTAACAAAATTCTCCCCACTAGCACATAAGGAAATGTATTGAGAACAGTATGGAGTATATGCATACTGATGTTAGGGTGTAAAGGATTAATAGTGCTCCAAAAATAGTAACTAGTATTAGAGAGAAGGAAAGAAAGTTCTTATTAACATTCTTTGTTAAATGAAACTTTTTTATGAATGTTGATTGCGACAGCAATAAAAACATCTGTGAAGCTACAATAACAATTACCTTTCCATGTAAACAAACCATAATAAAGCATGATGTTGATAAATGTAATCTCACCCAGTTTGAATCTGAGATCTAATAAACTTATAAGTGAATAGGGAAAAACCCAATGTGTTTTTCCTGCTTCTGTCATTCTAAATATCACAAATCAATCATGCCACCACTTTAATGTGATTTTTTTAAGTTGGGTACTTTTTCTTATGGTCATCTATATTTAGTGCCTATCTTTTACCAGCTGACATCTAAGAAGAATCAAGTCCACACTGGTGATTTGACACATTGTAAGCAAACCCTACCACTAATTAAATTTTATTTGATAAAAACATGAAGGGCAATACAGGAAATTGGTTAGCACAATTCAAGTTTCCCTTCTTAAGTATTCAGTGATTGTTTCTTCTACCATAGGGTAAAGTTTACAGTTTCCCTCATTTCACTGTCTTCTGTTCATTTGTTTGCTTTCCAAACAATCTTCTCTATTGTTGCTAACAAATGCCATGCAGCTAGGAGCATATAAAATGTGTACAGTTATTAATACTTTAATCCCTGAGAGTGACTAGTATCTAATTTCTCCTTTCAATATCATCCCTAAATCAAACATTATAAGGTCATGAGAATAAAGGAAATGATGATCAACTGAAGAACCTCTTGATTGTTAAACAAATTCTCCTTGCCAGCACACCAGGAGATGTATGGAGAACAGTATGGAGAATATGCATACTGATGTTAGGGTGTAAAGGGTTAAAGGCATCATGTGATCAGTTTTATATATGTAAAGTATTGCCTGATTATATAATTGTGGTGAGTGCAACTGCCTGGTAAACATCAGTTTATGGTCTTCTACTCTTCCACCTTGGAGGGTGCCTTGTGTACAAAGAAACTTAAGTTCAGTGCTTTTACCAGCTTTTTTTGGCTGAAAAGATCAACAAAGAACAACAGCCACACCAAAAAATAATTCATGAAAAACACCTCTACAATGGTAGGTACACACAACTGACATGTTTGAGTGAAGCATGTCAAGCATTGAGGTATGATTGTCAGTTTGCTTTTCATTAGTCACAAACAACTTATTTCTATCAGCTTTGAAAACTTCTATATTCTAGCTTTGGCTTTCCCATCAACATTTAAACATTAAAGACATAAGCTACCAACAACAGGCTTTTCCATTGTTTCATAACGTCACATTATTTTTTATTGCATTGGAAAGCATAAGAAAATTTTAATCAATTCAATATAATGAAATCCTCCATTTTAACTGTTTTGGTCCCACAAGTGACCTAGACTAAATTTCTCCTTACACTATCAGTGCAGTATCAAGCTGATAAGTAATGAGAATAAAGACAAATATCAATCAGGGGATAATTGGTTGATCCAATTCTAAATTCTCCAACCTAACATCACATAAATTGTATGGCAGACAGTAAAGAGAATTACTTATGAAATCTTGAAAGTTAAAGGGTTATGTAATCATATGTACCAGAAAGACAGCAAATAAATGTAAAATACTCCAGTAAAGTGAATGAAAAATGAAATTTCCAACTCATTGAAATTAAGTTGACTTCATGATTCAGATTTCAGTTTAAGAAAGGTGTAATATATCTTTACATGGATGAAAAGAGAGTGCCATTTATGAATTTTAAAATAGTAAATGCAAAAATCTTAAAGATGGAATTTAAAAAAGACTGCTAAAATATGGCATACATATTCACTGAGATTTTCATCATTGGCTGGCACACAGAGATATAAAAGAGGCTTTGTGAAAAAGACCAGGGTGATGAAATTAAAGATTCAGGAGGAGCATATGATATCAATTAGTTTACTGATGTTCCCACCTGAATTCAGTCTGACTGATAAAACAGAAGTGTTGGAGAGTTCTCTTTACAGTCTGTAAAGAGAACTCTGCAACACTTCTGTTTTATCTTCTCACACTTGAATTAAAACATAAAATTTAATTATTTGCTTCGGCAAGTTAAGGAGGAAATTAAAGGAATGGATATATGTTACATAAAAAGAAACCGCTTACAATAAAAATAAAGCAGAAGCATATTACCTACGCGTCTTTGCGTCTGAAGAAAGCTATAATAGGTATTTTTTAAACAATTATCTACATAATTATGTAAACCGGGTGCATTATATGGTCCTAAAAGCAATTTCATTATAACCTTCCTCCTTGAGGGGTGTTTTGTGTATCAAATATATCAAGTTCAGTACCTCCAGAGTCATAAGCCGGGCTTTTGGGGCTACAAAATAATAAAATAATCAACGCGTTATGGCAGGTCAATTTATCGAGAGTCAATTAAATGTTGCTTCCTAAAATCGTATGGAAAGTTTAAAATGTGCTTCATTTGTGCTACATATACGGATTTATCGTTCTTAATTACTCATGAAATTCCGAGAGTGTGACTCAATTAATTAAAAAGGAAATATCCAAGTAGGTTACAGAAATGGTTCACGAATTGTAAACTGATAATGTTTAAACAAAACCTCCCTAAATTATGGTGCCGATACGAATTCATCGTTCATAATCACTTATGGAATTCCAAAATTGTACCTCCTTCTCGCGTTGCTCTTCCCTAGATATTCGTCTTTTTACTTATGTCTTTTCTCGTTCTCTTTCGCGTTCATTTCACCGTATTCTTCTCGACTCGCCTTACATATTTTACTTCTTGATTTTTAGGTCGCTCAGTCTCTTTCTTTTTATCCTATTTTCACTTAAAGCCCTCTCTCCACAAACTCATAACAATTTCCTCCCGTTGACAAAGCTTTAGTTCTGCCGGTATTGTTGCTTTGCGAGTTGATTAGAAATTGGAAATACTGAGAATAACTGTTCAACTTCAACCTCACTAGATTAATTTGGCGTTCAAAACGCGGGTTGCAAATTATTTGCTTACGCGGCTTTACATCTACTAGCCAACGTGAAATCTTCGTGCAATGCCTAGCCGTGTGCCCGTGGTACGCTACAATGAAGCTCGACACTCGAGTATGCGCACTGCATTGTCATCTGCCAGTGTTTCCTGGCACTCACTAATGGGGTATCTAAGTTACGCGCGCATTCGCGCCTGCGCATTACCTTCTCCCTGGCCCTTCCATTACGTAATGGTTAAGATAGTGCCCGTGGTACAGTTGGCCGTGCATGCTTAAAATAGCACCTTGTACGGTCGGTTGTACGGTCACACGGTCGTACGGTCGTATGGTCATACGTCCAAACTTTTTCAGCTTGATGGGTTACTACTATTTTGTATAATTATAGGGTTACGCTGCGCGCGTTCGCACGCTGCGAGCTCCGCTATTATGATTTTGAATCTGCTGATAAGAATGATTTCGTTAGTTACGCCTGAAGATAAACAAAAGACCATCAATGCAGCAACATCACAGTCTCAAACCATTATTTGACAAATAAAAGCAAGGTCTGGTCACATTTTAAGTACGCAGGCAACTAATTTATCATAGCATCCGAGTTGCACCTTGCTGCACCCAAAATTTTTCTCAATATGACCGGTTTTTAGGGTTCTAAAGTTCAAAAGTACTCACCGGTCAAACTGTTGGTACTAAGCATGCGAAGTAGAACGCATGAAAGGTGCTCAATTTCAATGAATGCACAAGGCCTGGAGGGACAACAAGAAAACTCAGACATGATAAAATTTATTCGAGTCTCTGAATAAGGCTCTCTAAGAGTTCTATCGTGACCTAGTAAAACCATGTACTTTCTAGCTGGAAGGCCATCGAAAGTGTTCAAAGTTCGGTTTACCTTGTATTTTCTAATATTTTGGGCCACTAACGCTACATGGTGGCATGGAAAACTCTCAGCAAGACATATAGCAGGTCCCAGTCATTAGCAAAGAGCGTAACAACCAATATGTGCTCGGTAAGAAAGTCATCCTGCGGACCGCTCTTGTCGCGACTTTAAGAGCTTACATAGAGGACTGTGAGGGTTCCCCCGCACCCCCGCAGAAGTAGAGGTCGATCGTATTCATACCAACCACTTCTGGGGGTTCTCGAACTTAAGCTGGCCGAGGTGGAGAGCAAATTGACATCAATACAAAGACACTATAAAGAAACTGAAAGAGGAAAAAGCAAGCCTTTAGAAAATTTAAGATCTAGTTTCATTGAAAGAAATGACCTTGCTTTGTATAACTTGAGAAATACTAAGAGTTAGATCATAAATTCCACTTCTCCACACAGTATTATTCAAGTGAAGCTCTAGTAACAGTAATGTGGTGTTGTGAAATAGCTTACTTCGCCTCTTGCGTCAAGCGTCATCACTGACAGAGTCTAATAAACCGCCACAATTTTGCAATCAATTTTCCTTTTATTATATCAGTAGCATGGCATCCATGTAAATCTGTATCGTTAGTTAATATATTTTAATCTGTTAGAATAGGCAGAAGTAAGACGTTTTATTTGGAAGACTCAGTGTCTGTATTTGTATTTATATTTACAATTTTGTAAATCCTGAGGGATTAACCGTGGGTAAATGTAAGGTGTAGGTCTTTTACATCTATAAGGTGACACAATCTGACATGCGAAGGAGGCAACTTAAGTTAATAGCGTCTTATGGGATAATCATTCATTCCTTTATTCCACTGTAAATTCATATATTGAATATGGTTTAAGCGTGACAAATCCTTGATGCATATAGAATGATGTTTTACTTGACAACCCCAAACTCACGGCTTAAAAAAGGTCAAATCAACAAGCTACTGGTTTCACTTCTAATAATTTTTGGTTTTTATATTTTAGAGAGTTGTCTGATAACCCGTTGAAGATTTTGCCATCTGATATTTTCGTTACAAATGCTAAATTGGAGTGGCTGTAAGTAGATTTTTTCTCTATTGAGAGAAACCGAATGATCTTTGTCTTTATAGTTTAAGAGCCTGTCCACGAGAGGGCTGGGCAGGCGTGACACATGCCATCTCACCGATTTCTTTTACATTTTCACAGTTTATAAAAGTCAATAAGTTATTCAAGAATCCAAAGTAGTTCTCAAAACAACAGATTTATAGCTGGCGAGCTGAGGAGTCACTTATCATAGAAATTCTGTGACGCTGACACAGTCTATAAGAAAAAAAAGATTTATAAATGTATGTACATATCATACATCAAACATTACCGAATCGAGTAATGGACGTCGGCAGTTGACAGCGACGTTTGTCAAATGTAATTTACACAAATGAAACACAGTACATACCCAAAATAATTTTACTCAGTTCGTCATAATATTTTCCTCGTTTTTTCTGTGGGAAGCTTTTGAGAAGTCTCCAACACAATCTTAGGTACATTACATTTAAGTTGTTCCTGTTACATTTAATTGTTTAGAGTAGAGTAGTCTATATCAATTTTCCTCTTAGTGAACTACAACACTTTTCGGGGGACTTTGGCTGGACTGCGTTGAGGAGTTTGCAACTTTTGGAACGAAGTGTCGCAACTGTCCTTGATTTCGGAATTAAGGCCAGGCCACAACAGCATGAGCTCCGTTCCCTTTTCTTTACAAAAAGTGCGTGGGTTGTTTAACGTCCCCTGCTGACCAGTTATGGAAACTTGGGGTTCAGAGGTTGTTACATTAAGCCTTCAAACAGCCTTATATGGTCCGCTAAGTGGCTGAAGTAATCCCGTAGAAAACCCTAGTAATTAAAAGCTGTGACGTGAGTAGTTCCGGAAAAAGCTCCAAATCATCGAACAACCTAAACGACTATTTATTCCAATCCCTTCGAAACTAAATTGAATTATTTTTTGGTTTTAATGTGAGTATTTCTGAAATATTTTCATATTTAAAATCCTGTAGAATTTTACCAATCACATTACCTAGAAAAGTGAAGACTTATTCTAGCTAATCCCTTTCGTTCAATGTATGGTGTCACCAGATAATGCCCTTTATCCCAAACCATTTTCTCTCTTTCCCGCTGACAAACTAGGGGGAATTTCATGGCCCAGTTCATAATTATGATCATTTGGTAGGTGGCCAGGTTCTCAATAGCAGTGCAGCGTCCTAAAGGACAGGGATGTGCGCTATCCACTCGCACATAGGGACGGGCGCTATCCACTCGTTAATATCAGGGATTACGTTGACTACCTCATGCTGTAGTTCTTCCAGCTGACATTTGCTCTAATCATCAATTAAAGGAATTCCACCACTCCGAAAAAAACTCTGCTTACCATTAGATAAAAAAAACAAATCTTATAACTTTTTGCGTTCTTTTGACAATGGTAAGCCTTCATAAGCTTACTTGAATCAGAAATCTTCCAGTACGAATTCAGCGATACCCAAACCAGCAGATGTTTGCAATCGCCGTCAAGCTACAATTTAAAGTCACATGAGGCGTATTATGAAAGAAGGAAACGACTAAACAATGCCGGTGACACGAAGGCTGCGATTGAACAGTATGCGGAAGGGGGATGGATGAAAGGGTGCTACATCATCGACGCAGAAATTCAAGACTTTTTCCAAAATGTAAAGAAGCACGGCATGGCTGCCATTTAAGCCTTGAACGAATTTTCCTTTGGGTCTGAGAGCTTAGTCTTGAAGAACGTCTCGATGTTACGCCCCTGAACCAACCAAATGGGAAGAAACCTGTTAAATTATGTGCTAAGTGCAGCCGTTGGTGGAGCTCCGTCTACAAATTTATATATCTTGCGACAAGAGAATCGACTGTAGCACCAGCCAACTTTCCATCTTTCCATACTCGCGTGCAAAGTGAGGAGACTATATGAAGGCTTGAAATTATCGTACGATCGATTTTCATCAAGAAATGGGTCAGGAATATTTCAAAATAGTGTAAATAATCGTGAAAGCTGATCGCGGAAAAGCGATTGCGAGACGCTAGGTAAAGTTGTAAGGTGACATGTTATCAGATGCCAGACGAAAAAACTCTTCAGATTCTCAGTCTGCATTTTGCACCCATTCTGCAGTCCACATTTTGTACCTAGTCCAAATTTTGTATCCGGTCTGCAGTCTCCAGTCTGCATTTTGAACTAACAGGTATCTGTTATCCACTAATACAGTTTATTTTTGGTTGCAGCTATTCGCAAAACACACACAACCTACCACAAAATACCTGTGTGTGAGCTAATTCGACATTTGCGGTCTTTTCCGCGTTAATACTATTCTCTTCTTTTTTAAGAATGTAGACATCACCTACAATGTTTCAAGTAATCCACCCGCCCCCCAAAGTAACTCTTGCATGCATAGCAAGCCTATGTTTATTTTAAGCGAAAATGTCTCACGCTAAAAACTCAATAATACACACTCCTCAGGCTGCATTTCTAAGATGACTTCATTCTATTCGTCATCTGGTTCATTGCTTTATGTGCACCCCAGCTCTGTACAATGCTATGCTAAATTTTCGTTGAATTCATAGGTACCTGTATGAAATGCAATTGCACCACCTACCTCCAGGAATCTTTAACAAGAACACACAGCTAATCAAATTGTGAGTAAAACGTTTTTTCTGTGTAATACGCGGGTAAAGATAATTCAGGATCGTAAGCTTAATAAAATTAACAAAATTTTGCATATCCTTTATTCATAATATGTAGCTATTTAGGTGCATAAAAAAATTCCCCCTACATTTAATACCACTGGTCAACTTTAGCACCTGCTCACTGAAAACTCTGATCCCAGACCAGCTGGACGACAGTAATAAAGGCCTCCAACTGCTTTTTGTTGTTGTCTTTGGTTTTTTTCAGATTTTTCAGATTATTCGTTTCGCTTCGAAAATTATGAATTTATATCAAACATCATGAAGACCATGCATCGACTGACCGATTATGAGATTTCATTCTCTGTATGAAAGGCATTACGAAGTGCCTTCATTGAATAAAAAAATCATTCAAATTTCCGTCAATAACAAATTTCCATATCTATGTCAAATGTAATCATATTCTAATGTTGTAAAATGAGTATTACGGGTGAAGTTAGCATAAACAATTCTTTACTAGATGAAACTGATGCCGACTTTTGCTCACATTTTAAAACATTCGTAACCGTCTTCGACCACAGCCCTGAAAGGCTTCAGTAATACCCCTATCCAAGCAGATAATTTTCTATTGGATGTTAAAAATATTGATCGGTTTTATATGGTAAAAAACGCAGACGCCTGAATGACAACGACATGAAAGGATTGGATGGAAGTGCCTTCAAAAACTTGACAAGGCTAGAGGAACTGTAAGTTAATGTGTTAATACTGTTGTAGAAGGAATTTCTTATCTTAAAAACAAAATTATGCATGGTAAAAATTTATTGATTCCTTTGGCTGGATCAGTACATATCGTGGTTTGCTGAATTATGTTGTGAAAATAAAACAGAGACAGATAAACAAACAGCACTAAAAAAAAAGTTTTGAAAATAGGTATTCAAACTATAAAGTTGCCAAATGGTTTCAATTCTGACTTAAGCCGTAAGAGACATTGAGGCTTTGTCTTCTGACGCAAAGTACATTGCACGTTTTAAAATTTCAGAACTGAGAAAAGCCTCTTTTGATTTTATAGCACTGCATCGAGCTTGGGAACAGCAGTAGTTTGGTTAATTTTTTATTGTGTCATTGATATAGTGGTATGCTGATTCGTATTTTTGCTTATTGCGTTGCATCCCATTGCGTTGTATTGTACAGTCAGAGATAATAAGTGGTTGTTGTGCATAAAATCATGCAGCCACCAAAAAAAAGCTGTTTTCATAACGCAGCAGCATTCCCCTTTCTTACCGCCCCATCTATACTTGTTTTTCCATTTACTTTTTTCTTTTCTCTTTTTTTCCCTTCCCATCAGTGATCATAAAACAAGGCGGTAAATAACTGTATTAATAAAACTAAATATATTTTAAGTAAAGATCATGTTTTTTTCAAATTTAAACACAGATGGTTGCAAGATAACAACTTCACTGAATTGCCTCCTGATTTATTCCAAGATGTAGAAAACCTGAAAGAACTGTAAGTTAATTCTACCAAGCTTTCCCCTTTAACTGCGTAGTGTTCCAGCATTAATTAAAATTTCCCTCTCTTTTGTGAAATCACAGCTCGTGTTGGCTAGTGTATTTTTAAACAGATTCTGCCAGCATTATACATTTCTTTCCTTTCATTAATCAAAGCATTTAAAAGGTAAATATTCTGCAATTGAAGATTTTATAATCTTCCTATCTGCACTGATAACATATTTTGGAATTGAACCATCCTGAATGACGTGTTTGTTACTGAATTGATATTTTCATTGACAACGATCAACATACAATAAATATATGTTATTTGCCGGCTGGGAGGTCCGTATGGTGAAAAACTGTGACCGAGGTCTTGAAAATACTGCCCGAGGCCGTAGGCCGAGGGCAGCATTTTCAAGACCGAGGTCACAGTTTTTCACCATACGGACCGACCCTTAGCCGGTAAATAACATATTTATTGTTTTTAAACTTAACGAAATTCTTTCCGAAAGAACCCGAATGATTTATGGCCGTAAATACGGCAAGATCTTCCATAAACTGAAACATTTTTGAGTGAGTAAATGGTAGTTGAAATAGAGGTGATGCAAATTTAAGAGATATGCCTCAGCCAAACATTTGAAGTTGTGAGAGTTTGCTCGTTTGTTTGCTGTGATGGCGTGTTTAACTCTGGTCTTTCCTTCACAAAAATTAAATTCGAACGGCACACTCCAACGAGACACAAGGGAATTTAATGCGGCCTTTTCTCAAAAAATTCCTTTCCAATTTCTGTTGTGCAATTTACGGTACAAATGTCCAAATTGAACGGAATTGGAAAGACTCACCGGGAGCGTATATTTGTTGTAGAACTTAAATTAAAACTTCGCTCGCTCTTTCACTATGAACAAATTTCTCGAGAAAATTCAGATATTAAATGAATGAAAGTTCCATCGTTCAGTTTAACTTTAACCAAATACCTCACGTTTCAACTTTCTGGATACTTTTTGTGAACGATTAAAATTAATTGCAGACGGTTTTTAGGCCGCTTGTCAACCAACGTAATGACACTATTGTTTATACAAATTCATTCTGAAACCAATATTTTTCTGTCAACCAAAGCGATTTGATAGAGAGAAAAGAGAGGATTCATAAGTTATTTATCGGCTTGAGGTAGTGACCGACGTGTTTGCTTAAAAATACTGCCCAGCCGGAAAACGAGGTATATTTATGAAAAATGACAAGGAAAGTTGGGATGTACTCGGCGACTCACGAAAGCGTTACCGTGGCCCGTGGGCAGAGATAGGAAAATACTGACCGGGTAAAGAACCAATCAGATTGTAAGATTCGTTGCCGTGCCCTCTAAAAAAACAATAATAAAGTTTATGCATGTTATGAATGTCGTAACTGTTTTCATGGGATATCTTTCTTTGTTTTGAATCATGTGGGAATCTTCTTAACAAGCTTAATGATTTCTTTATTAATCCACGGAAGTCAGCAATCGGCTATGTTTTTCAGTGTGCACGCAAATTTCAAGATTTCAGCGGCCTGTAATTGCTTTTTTTAATAGATATTGACAAAACTAAATAAATGAAGTAACTCCTGGATATTTTAGCCTAACCATGAGATACATTATCCATGTCTGTGACCATATACTGCTCTTTGGTTGTTTTTAATGACAAGCATCTTTCGGTATTTTTACTTACAAATTTTCATTTGCATACTTAAAGACAATTCATTTTCTTTTCTCGTCATTCTTATCAGCTATCTGTCAAATAACAAGTTGAAGAGTCTTCCAGACGGACTTTTTAACAGCCTTTCCAAGCTGACACATCTGTAAGTGAAATGGTTATTTAACCAAGAAGATTATTGGGTAGAACTAAATGATCATTTTTAAAATATAGTTTACAAAGGTACAGCCGTCATAGCTAAAAAAATCATGGAGTTTTCTAGCTTGTATTTGTAACTCTGATCATTTGAAACACTGGATGTTATTTTTTGTAGCAGTTGTGCTTTGGTTAGAAATATAAAAGTACTAGGAGGAGTAAAAGTTTAAAAGCTTCTGTTTAAACATACTTTTTTTGGTTTTTTGAACCTTTTTTTTTATCTTGTTTGTTTTTTATTGCGGTGAGAGGTTTCTCCCCTCAAAAATGTCGGGGATGGATATTTTCTTAATTGGCCTGTTTTTCGATTTTGTATTCGTGAAATACGTTTCACTTCTTGCTTTCTCTAAAAATGTAAACAGATTTTTTCATCATAGCGTTCTCGGTTAGCATAATGTGCTAGGATCTTCTTGAGTTGGAATCTAAAACAGTAACCTTTTTCCTAGTAAAATGTCCCAGGGATTTATGGAAAATGAACTGAAAAGGGGAAGCAGCTGCACAAGTAAACGATATATTCTAAACGTTTTCCACCAGAAACCTCTGATTACTATTTTTTATGAGTTCAGTTGGTAGTTCTATCATAAGCGAAATCTTTGGAACTGTGGTAATAATTGTTTGCAGGGATTTGTCAAACAATGAACTTGGAGATCTGCCACCGTACATTTTCAGGAACATTACAGCACTAGAATTTCTGTAAGTAAGATTTACATCGGCACAAAAGATTAAAAATTATTGTTAGAGTATTTTCTTGAAAATAACAGAACTTGGTGGCTATGGAAACTTCCTAGTTAATGACATCTTACATTACAATTTACTCCTGGAAGATAAAGAATCTTTGTTTCCTTGTTACCCGAGTTGACAATATCTAAGAATTTGTTTTATTGCAGGATCAAACTACCCTGTCACTAATTTTCTAATTTGTAACGGGAAGTGAACCACCAATGATTTTTAAATTCAGTTTAAAAAAACAGACCTCGTTGGAGGCCCATGGGAATAAACTTGAGAGTTTTGGCGCCTAATGTGAGGGCATTATAGATATGTTTAATGTGTTCTTTGAAGATAAAGATATAAAATTGAGAGGTATTTCACCGGAAAACATTGCCATTCCCTGCATTAGTTACCTAAAAAACAGCAGAGTTAAAGATTTAACCACCCATGACGTTTTCTTCAGGAAAATGGACTACAACAAAATTGAGAAGCTTCACGAAGACCAGTTTAATGGCTTGGTAAATCTATTCGATTTGTAAGTACATTTAGAGTTTAAATCTTTTTCCATGATGATCTGAATCGCACACCGTATACAGTAATATCATTTAATGTCAACTCCGTTATCGCGCAAATGAAAGTTGTCCTACCCGATCATATTTATGTTACTACATTTAAATATTTATTTCATTATCTATTTTGCATGTTCAAGATATCTCTCGGAGAATAAAATCGGCGCTTTGCCTGACAAAATTTTCAAAGGCGTCAAAAGCCTGAAAGCTCTGTGAGTACAGTTAGTCACATAAAAACAAATTCTAGAATATTTGAAGTGATGGAATGAATATAATAAGCGTTCAAAATCTGAGATTTTAGTCCACAAATTTAACATGATGTAGAACAGACGTGGTGCAAATTACCTTGCTCAACGAGGCAATGGTGTTCTGATTCATGTTGCACTAAAAATGTGCCTTTTTATATGAAATACTTTTAGTGAGCCAAAGTGCATATTATAGAAACGGAAACAAACATTATGGGGATCTATGTAGTTGTGATGAAACTTCATGTAAATTTATTAGGATGAGGAGAATGACAACTGCAAGCTTCCGTTTAGGAGCTAATTGTAAATGATTACGTTCTTCGTTTCAGCAACATCTTCGGCAATAGGATACAAAACGTTAGCAGCACGACTTTCAACTATGCCCACGAACTGCGATTTTTGTGAGTTCACTGCAAATGACAGATTTTCATTTAGGCAACAAAACTTAGTTGTATATGTTGAAATCAGATATATGTACGACAAGCATGTAGGCGAGTATTCTTTCGATTTTTTTTGTATTCAAAGAAAAGACTCGTGAATAGTAATTTTGGAAGATAACATAAATATACCAAAAGAATGTACCCCTGAATGACTCCGGAAAGAGGCTTTAAACAACGAACGAACACAACTGAATGGGCTGCCACGTCACAAAATCAGTGGCCATCAAACATTTCCAAGAAAGCAAGACGAGACTTATCTCATGCTAACTGATTAATTTTATGAAATATTTGAGAAAATGTCAAACTAAGGTCTGTATTAAATATCATCAGTTAGGGTTCCTAATTACGTTTATGTTTTCCTTGACAGTTTATTTGAACAATAACATTAGCTAGATGAATCTTATTCATGGAGATTCATTTTTTGGAGTAAATCAAATTCTTCTTGTCAGGTCAATTATGATATAAACCAACTTAATGTTCCCATTATGATTACTTGATATTACAGGTTCATGCATTACAACCTGATGGCTGAGCTCCCCAAAGGCTTTTTCAGGCATTTGACGCACATCATCAGAGTGTAAGACTCATTTTAATACGTCTATGATATTAATCGATTAATGATTTTTAATGGCTTTAAATGATACAATAATAAAGTGTTATTTCTTCTCTTATTCTCTTCTTTTTTTGAAATCTAGAACATTGGACACCAACCTGATGTGCTGCCATCTCGATCTTTTGAGGCAGGATGCTGATTGTGAATATGCCTTCAATGATAACTTCGCAAGCTGTCACTCCATGTTCCGCAACCGTGCTCCGAGGAGAACTCTATGGGTTGTCGCTCTTCTGTCGTTGTTAGGATCTTTGTTTGTAGTTGGGTGGCAGTGTTTCTTCCCTGATAACAATGTGGTCCAATCTATTATGTTGGCGAATCTGGGTGTGTCCGACGGCATCATGGGTATATACCTTATTATTGTAGGTATAAAAGACCTGCAATGGTCAGGGGAAAACTACCTGCATGACTATGAGTGGCGCACCGGTTGGTTTTGCCATTTCAATGGTGCCATGTCTGTCTTTTCAAGTGAAGTGTCAGTGATGATGATTTCTCTGATCGCATGGGACAGACTCAAGAACATCGTGTTTCCTTACACCTTTGCAAAAATCACACCAAGGCAGACCCGCATAATGTGCGTAGTTATCTGGCTGTTGGGAGGCATTATAGCATTCCTTCCCTTGTCCGGAATGCACTATTTCAGTGAGAGGTATTATGGCAATAATGTAGTGTGCCTGCCCTTGCAACTTTCCCCGCGATTAGAAGAAGGCTGGGAATACTCCACCTCCATTTTTATCGTTCTGAATTTTTTCCTATTCATCTTCATCACGGTTGCTTACGTTGCCATTTTGTGGAAATCATGGTCATCGAGCAGACGACTCGGTGGGCATGGAACCATCCGTGAAATACGAGCAAGAGCACAAAGTGCACAGGCTAAAAGAGAAAGAGCACTTGCCAAAAGAGTCTTTTTCATTATTCTGACCGACTTCTTGTGCTGGATGCCAATCATTTCTATCGGCATCCGGTCCCACGTCGAGAAAACATTTGATCCTCCTGGTGATCTAGCGGTGTGGATTGCAGTGTTCGCTTTGCCGATCAATTCAGCTATCAACCCATTGCTGTATACGCTTTCCACTCCACAGGTAACAGTTTTTTTTTCTTACTTTGGACTAGCACCTACTGTTATGTTAAATTTGCTTTCGCGTCAGAGCAGACTGGCAACTTAATTTTGTAATTGTAACGATTGACATACAAAACAAGCATGAAAAAAGTAAATGATCGGACAGATTTTGGTAGCTTCTTCACCGTTGACTCTAACCATAGTGACTTTTAAAGAAGTTACTTGAAAGTCTTACATAAGCTATCCCATACATTTCGAATGTTCAGGTGCAGGCTGTGTTGAAAGCAAAACTGAGGAAGCTGTGGTCCAATGTTCGATCTATTTTCAGCAGAGGCCAAAGTCAAGAAGGTACAGTTTTAAGCTCCATTCAAAAAATACCATGGTAACAATAATCATATTCCAAGCATTGAAATGAATAAACTTTAAGGTTCATCAAACTGAGTATGAGCAACCCAGTTTTCTTTAAGTAACTTTTGTCATTTTTACTCCCAAGGCTTTAGAGTTGGAAAAGGTTAGAACTGATATCAAATCGCAAAAAAACTCATGTATTTCTTAGTTGTTTAAATTTTTAATTTTTTAGAATAAGAGACCGAACAAATTATTGGAACCACGGAGGCGCAATTGGTAGTATGTAAAGTTGTAGCAGGCATAGAGGAGAAAGCTAATCAAGAGAGTGATTCTAGATAGAGATGGGATCAGTGTAATAAATAATCAAGAAGAATAATAAATAATGAATGCAACAACGAGATTGGAAATCATGATTTCAGTTCCATTTTTACAAAGTTAGTATCTCTAAAGTTATGTATTAGAAACATTGAGACAAATGGGTGCCATTTGCAACAAATTTTTTAAATGATTTTGGAAACAATTCTCAAAATATGAATGGCTATAGTTCTGTCATAATTTATCCAAATCTGAATCGTAAAATGTGTTTTTTTTTCTTTGATAAACCTGACAATGGCTAATAACTTTTTATTGGTGTTTTTTTTTTTCATATAGAAAAAGCAGACAATGATCAGCAGGGAGAGATTGGAAATGGAGATGAACATGCTAACGACGAAGAAGGTAAAAATGTAGTGCTTCTCAGAGTAAATCACATGCAAAATATCTTCACTACGCCTCTGGGTAGGGTTCTGTGTGTAATAGTTTCTTTTCCTTTTTTTTCCATTCTTAATTCCTTTTATTCATTTACTTCCCCATAGGAGAACAAATTGAAATGCTGGTAATAGAACACAACAAAATCCCAGAAGTGGAAGTCCCTGAATTGCCTGCTCAACAACCAAGTCAGTAAATAAATATATAATTTTAGATGCTAACAGTAATACTGTAATTGACTTTGTAATTTAACTCTCTTGTCAGGCATGTATAGCCTTACCAATAAATCTTCCACATATTAGCTCTTTCAAATAAAATACCTGGAAACCTCAGCATTCATTTTCTGCTCTGGTAGCTCCTGAAGCTGCATTTTGAGTCAGGAAAGATTTAGGAAGGGTCTCCCATATGCCACAACTGTGATGAAATTAGGTTGTATTACTTTTGGTTGATGAGTTATTTCAGACATTCTGGTGATAAATTGTCTTATGCACTTTTGCCACCTCCAATCACAAGATCCCCATTCCTTTACATTAGTAACCTGCTTAGTGTATTATGAAAGGAAGATACCATCATCTCCCATATGACAAGGTTGTAGTAAATATATGATACATATATATTGACAATGATCATTCATTGTTTCAAGTTTTCAGTTGTATTGTATGAAGAATAACTTAAAGATAACTCTTTGCTCTTATTGAACAAGCCTGTGGAGGGCATGCGAGTTCATCTTCCTCAAGTAAAAAATCTATTTATGAACGAAATATAAAAAGAAGGCAGAGAAAACCGCTTTATTTACAAGAGTAGTGCTACAAAAGTCACAGTTATACCATGCGACTTCAACTGCATATTGCACTTTACAACCGGTCATAAGAATCGCCAAAAAAGAAAGAAAGGCAATGCATCTTAATAATTGTAATTGCAGATTTTCATGTGCATAAATTAAGTTTTAGATTTAAATGTGAGCTTTGTAACTCAGTGATATTTAATAAATCAATGAATGATTGAATACATATGGAAATCTTACGTACGTAAGATACGTTTGTAGAGAAATTTATTTCAGAATAAAACATGAACCATAGGCATTATGAAAGGGTTTACTCTACTTGTTCCTTAAAACAGATTATGAAGATGATTTTGACATCAGACCAGCCACTACAAAGACTGTGGAAGGTAAACACCTTTCCAATTTTCAAGTTTTTTTTTTTGGAAATTTCATAACTCTACAAACCAGCGAATGGTGGCTGGTGCTACTAAACTGGCGCACTTTGTATACTTGATTGCATGGTTTTGTATATCACATCAATAGGATAAGGGTTCTCGTGTAAACGCTTAATCATCAATCAGATCATATATCCTTGGTCTGTCTCATGAAAAACTTTACGAGAGCAGCTTGTTGGCCACTATTTCTGGAAGATAAAAAACCCTCTCCTAGTTACTGAACGTAATGGGCCAATGCAATTTAAAAAAGGTTCTGTTGGAACGTTTGCTGTTGTCAAAGACTTAAGACGTAGCTGTGTTATTAACGTTGAGCCTCTCAGGAACCACCCGCAGTCTATTTAAATGAATGGCATTCTTTATTGCAGTAACTGTTCATCATGGCGAGAGCCAGTATCGACGAAGAAGACAAACAGAAGGTAATAGTCGACATCTTGTGTAAGTAGAAGTGTCTCTAAACACTAATAGAAGTTTCTGATGTTGAGAATTGCCTAGTTTTATGGAACAGTTAGTTCAAATTGAAATTAGCCTGAAATTAGTCTTAAAAATTACTGGTATTGATCGAAGGTTAAGGGTACTTAAAAGAACCTTTGTAATGATGGACACTCCCCTTCAGTGTAACTTATAGCTTCTGATACAATAACTGAAATATGGAGCGATTGTTGCGGATTTCAGTGAGCACAATACTTCACTTTCTATAACGTCAAGATACATTTAATGGAAACTTGTAAAACATTTCTGATAAAAAGCCAGCACTAGCCTGATTTTAGTCATTCTTAGTTCATTGCTTTGACAGAGTTACATTTTTGTAAAGTTCAGGGGTAGCTACTTGTAAGCTAGAGGGACTCACTCATCCAGTATGGTAACGGAGGCAAAAAAGAAGTTAATGATAGGGTAAATTAGTAGCCTCCAGTCAAGGTTTTTAAAAGGTGATAAAAGTACACGGCTGACTGTTTCAACAATCTTGCATATTCAAGTTACGCCCTGTCCTTGGTGATTCTCCCAAAATATCAATCACTTCGTCGAATGCAAGGACAAAAATTGAATATAATATGTCTTAAATATCTGTGTGCAGATCAAGAAGGAGGAAGTAAGCCTGAACCTAAAAAGCCAACTGAGAAAGGTAAACACGATGAAATGCTTTTTAGGAACTGAACATTTGTCCGCCATGGGTCTCATTTATTTCAGCATATAGTGTAAGTAGCACCTGGACTAATTTGCTGGCTTGATAACGGGCAATGGGCCGCGATATCTAACCTCATAGATATTAACAATTAATTCGATTTCACACAGCTGGTGAATCTGAGGAGCAGGAGATTAAAGATATTTCAGTGCCCAGTAACAAAGGTAAAGGAGATAATGGTTTTTGAATGGTTACTGAAGAGATTAAGGCATTTTTTTGTGAGTAGTTAAAACATCCCTTTTATCTTGGTAGTCACTGGAAAAATTCTAGTGTAGAAATTGGTGAAACATTAATGATTTTAATTCCTAAGTACAAAGACAAGATTTAATGACTTAATACTAACTTATTTTATATTAAAAAATCATTTTCTAAAGAAGCTAGAGAAGCTGAAGAAGAAGAGACGGTGCATGAGCCTGGCACGGATGCCGCAGAGGAAGGTAAAATTTTTTCATTATCAGAAGACATAAACTCAAATTGGTCCACACAATGCTTCATAAGGTGATGCATAATCAGTCCACTCAATTGCCAGAAGAACACTTGAAGTGTTCAGTCGAAAGGTCGCGACTCACATCTGGAGGTGACGATATTGAAAAGAAAACTACACCGCTTGAGAATTATTATACTTTCTCGTAACGAAGAGCCATAACTTTTTATGCAATGCTAAAATCCAATATTTAAGAATTTATGGAGCCGTTTTAATTGTTTGTTTGTTTTTTAAAGCGGTACATTTATAATTTGCCCAAATACAGAAAACTTAGCCGCCTCTTACCACAGCTAATAGAATGGAAATAGCGACTTTGATGTTGTGTACCTCAGTTCTCAAAACACTTCAGTACAGATATGCAAAAATTAAATGAGCTGTGATAAGTGGCAGCTCTGTTTTCTGTATGTGTGCAATTATTACTGTATCGCTTAAAAAAAAAATGAGCGCGTTGTATTTATATCTCTTTTCTTATTCCATCCAGGGGAAGAAGAAGTGTTTGATACCAGGCTTTAGTTCTTTGTTTTCGAACTAAGGTAAATGCCTATTACGTTTGCTTAATTATTGAATACCGCGGAAAAAGGGATGCAGAAAAACAAATCCCTTCAAAGAACTTGTGTTTTGATTTTAACATGTATCTTATAGAATTAGTGTAATATTTGAGATGTCGGGTGAAAATCTCTGGTGCGTTACCGTGTATATGCATATATAGTTGACTCCTGATTACTTCAACAATCAGTTTCTTGAGCCCGATTTATATTTTGAATCAAAAGTGACTTTTTTGATGCCATCCTCATAGCGTAACTCTATCCTAAAGTTTTTAGCCCCTTGCTATTTCAAACCAATTTCAAATTTAAGATATCATGCGCTGCAACTGCAATGACTGAAGTTATCGGAGATGAATAAGAAAGTCTGATTTGTTCTAGCTATCATATCCTGCTTGTCTTTTTTCAAAGTCACTTGTGAATTGTTTTCAGGCATTCCATTCATTGTTGTCAGAAAGGGTACCAACAAATTTTCAAACTAATCGGTTTTTCTCTGCTTTTGTTGATATATACCGATTGTATAAGTAACCTTTTGCATTCATTGATTGGTGTGTTTTTCCCTTTGCCCCCGACAGTTTCCAAGAGCCAAAAACATTGCATTAGTATGGAGACCGTGAGGGCTATGGACCAACTAGAAAAAAATGTCAAAGAAAAGGAGAAAAGTAATTATATTAATCAATACTTTCTGTCTATGATAACATCTTAACTAGAAAAGTCTGGTTCTTAATTTCTTTTTCTTAGATTTAATGTTAACATTACTCCTTAGAATTGTTGTCTGAATTAATCATGATGATACGGTAACAAGGTATAGTTGGAGTGGAGCATATTGCGCTATTTCTATCTTCTTTTTGTTTTATTTTGTCCGTTTTTTGTTTGTTTGATTGTTTTTTTTGTCAATAGACCACTTCCGAGTTCTCGCGGTTCATTAAGCCTGTGACAAAATTACGGCGCGAGAACGAGGCTAAGTGCGAAGTCGCCGAAATTACGGCGCAAGAACACGGCTAAGTGCATAATCGCTGTCGTCGGTACAAAGATCTAATTGCCTTGGTAGTAAAATTTGGGGAAAATGAGGGAAATTCAATGAAGCAGAATGAAAGATTATTTGTTTGAGAGGCATTCAGTGAATTGATGGCGGCAAAGGGAAAAAAAGGAGAACTGTTCTATTTATGCAAGACATCTGCGGCAATGGAGCAAATTAAAATAGCCTCTTCTTGCCAAAGACCGTGAAAAGCTATTGGAGGAGAAATTACAAACAAGTGACAGCAAATTTTCAGTACCAATAATTTTAAATTCTTGAACGAGCAGCTTCTCTAACATTCCAGAGCTCTCGTTTGGCGTCCGCATGCAGCCTTGCCGTAGTTGTTTTGATGTCATCATTTAACCATTGCTTTATGTCTTGCTGATTCGTAGCGAGGGCTTGCTGTAGTTTATGAAACGAAATTGAAATCAGTTATTTGTGAAATGAGCTCAATATGTGTATCTTTTGAAATGGGAATCTGTAATTAACTACACAAGAAGTGCAGAAAACTTAGCCACCAACCGGAAGGATTAATCGGTCAGTTCACTACCAATGTGGATTTCATACGTAACCTAGCAAATAATAACAACTACGGAAAGAGCGAAAGGAAAATCTTCGTGGTGTACTTTGCAAAATATTCATTTGAACGTTTACGACGCATAATTCAAATGCGTGACAAAACACTTTACTTGAGTTGGAAACGTCACGCATTCCTTTTGAGCAGAAAAACATAACAGTCGTCTCATGCCATTGTTCTCGTTTACAACAAAAATCTTCAAAGATGGAGGGAAATCAGAGAAAAGTTTAGCCCGGGGTTCAAATGTTAATAATAGTTAATATTATACGCTAGTGTCAAGCTGACCCACCCATCCTTGCGGCCGGTTGAGTTTACCGCACAGATTCTCATTTCGTAAATTGCAAATTTTTCTTTCCCATATTACTGCTTTTCGTTTTGCTAATAGCAGATTTGAATTCATTTCGCAAATAACAGATTTGCAATCCGTTTCGTTTAGATCGTTTCGCAAATTTCAGTCAGCCCTCGCTTAGAATCAGCAAGAAAGAAACAACGGTTGGTTGATGACGTAGAAGAAACTGAGGCTAGGCTTGGGAAATGGAAATTAGCCCTCACTTGTTTGTTTGCTTCGTTGCCGCAACTTTCTAGCATAAATCGAACAGTTCTGCTTTATTCTTGCCTTTGCCGCCATCACTAAGCTGACGCCTCTCGCCTACAAAAATGTTTTCTCTCTCTTAAACTTAATTCCGAGAATTTTCTTCTTATTTTCACCACCACGGCACTATATTACCTTTACCGATAAGAGCGGCTTCGCATGTAGCTTCGCCTTCGCACCGTAATTTCGCCACCAGATCACTGAACCACGAGAACTCGGAAGGGGCATGTTATAACATGTAAATGTACCTGACACTGTCAGTTTTAACGTATTTCTAGAGACCATAATTCTTAGACCGCAGTTGAGTCTGATGGCTCAAGACGGAACACAACAATATCAGGGGTGTAGCCAGCATACAGTCCTCTACCCCCGGGCCTTAATATTTTTTTGCGCCCACTTGACGTTTATTATATAACTTTTGCAAGTTTTGAAACAAAATTGAACTTTCTTAGGGTATAGGCCCACGTTAAGTCGAAAAGCTGGCTATGCTGTTAGTATGATAAGCCATTTTTGTCTGCATCCTGATCTTTCCACCATTAATCATAATATAACTGAGTGAATGTTTTGATTAGGAATACCTCACTGGTTTTAAAAGTAATTTTTAAGCACATTCCCATGGAAACTGTTAAGCTTTTTCAGAGCTCACTCGTAGTTTAGAGGGGATTTGATGTCACTGAATAGCTTCCTTCCAGAGTTTCTAATATAGAAAAGAGCAAAGAAGGTTAATAACGGGATAATAACAATAGAACACTAGCGGACTTAAATGAGAATTATCAGGTATTTATTAGAAGAACAACTATTTAGATAGCTCTTTTCTAGCATTTTATTTAAACTCGAAAAATCATCTGAGATTTGACAAGAAAAACTTAGAAAAATGTACGGGTCAAAGACGTCCACTAACTAGACATTTGGTAGTACGCTGGTAATCTAAATAGTTCATTTCTTAACATCTTTTAACTCATCCGTGAGTATTGAAGTCACAAGGAGTTAAAGTCACGTTAATTTTGGGTTTCATGTTATATCACAGAACTTAGACTTACGGTTAAGATTTCAGCTGGTAGACATGAGGTAGTACAGCAACAATCTGAAGAGTTCACTGACCACAACTCGTCCAGCGAGTATTCAGAGTACGTGTTGAGTTGTTTAATTTCGTTAGTATCTCTAGTTGAAAAAAGGTAAAAATATCACAAAAAAAGAAACAATTACTGAATGAGACGTCACTTACTAGAGATTAAACAGTATATTTAATGACCTAAGTAGCTCATTTCTAGAATTTTTATAACTCGTATGAGAGCATAATGATGGCTAAGAGGTAGAGTGACCTCTATTTTCACTATGTTACTACGTACGTTTTGAGTGCAAATTACATTAAAAAAAATATCAGAGATGTTGTGGAAACAAATTACAAGTCAGATATAGGATATTAAGCGGTACAATAACAATTTGAATGTTTCACTTCCACAACAAGTTTGCGAGTGCTTTGCATGCAGACTTCGTGTAAAATTATAAGAGGAAAATGCACAGGGTCACAATTTATTTGTTCGAGATTTTGTAGAGCGCAAACGATCTAAGTAGCTCATATCTTAGAGTTTTCATAACTCTTTTGCGAGCATCATAGTTATTAGTGACCTCTGTCATGGCTAAAGCCTACGTCTCTACATTATTCGTCATTATCATTAACATTAACCTGAAAATCGAAAAATAAGAGAAAAGAAAAAAGGTCTTAGAATACCACTAACTTAGATATTTGGTAGTGTTTTAAGTCTAATTTTGTAGCTCTTTTCTAAATTTTTTCAACTCAAATCGAGAATTCTAGTTCATTGTAGTATGTGGTATTTTTTGATAACTTTGTTCAAACGCGATCATCAGCATGGCTTCTACAGTAAGATTAACTTGAATGTGTAAGTGGCTTTTCGAGGGAAGTCACACAGAGTTACTAACAAGGTTTCCAGATCTACTGTAAAACGAAGACTTCACTAAAATATCAATAAGACCTTACACATACGTTTGTTCTCAGTTTACCCTATAAAGGTTTCGTCAAACAAAGTCTCGCTTCAGCTTCATCCACAGTGTGGATTATGTGCCACAATGACCTGTGTCAATTGATCTGAAAAAATATTGCTTTCTTTCTTTATCTCTCGTCTTAAACGAGCCGTGATCGCACGGGGGGGGGGGGGGTAGGGGGGAGGGGGGAGGGGAAGGGTACGTTAATAGCCTTGAATTA